TCTTTTGAACTTAAAAAGAATTTCTAAACATAAATTTATTAAAATATGTTAAGAAAGGAAGAGTGTGGTGTAACAAGAAGACATGTAGAATCTGGCAATAAGCAACAAAAGATGGGAACATCGTAGAGTCTGAATATGTATTCGAAACCTCCATTTGGAACTTTGGAATGTTATGCTAATAGAAGATACATATGTAACCCGGCTTAAGTTAAGGATAACGTTTTGGGAGAGGCAATTCAATTTTTTAATTGTGATGCATACATATAAATAATAGGCTAATGATTGTACACTTCAGACTTGAAGATAATAACAAATACTTGGTCATGGCAAATTTCTACAAAGAAGATGGTGGGCTCTTATGGATTTAAAGCTACTGTACAAAATTATTCAATTCATTCAGTTTATATATATATGTTCTAATGCTGCCTCCTACTAATATTTTGTTGCAGGAGTTTCAACATCCATTTCAGAAACCCCCCCTACTCATTACACAATCAAAATTCAGTCACTTTCTCTTCTAAAGAAGAACAATATTGAGAAATACACCTCTCCTTATTTCGAAGCTGGCGGATATAAATGGTGCAGCAAATTTATCCTAGCTACTGTAATCTAATTAATGTAACTACTCTCTTCAGTTTTAAATTTTGTAAGTTATGCAGGAAGTTGGTGTTTCATCAAAATGGAAACAAAAGCAAGAATAAAGCAGGGAAGCATGTTTCTGTGTATCTGATGATGGCGGATGCAACCTCACTAGCACCTGCAGGTTGGGAGGTCCATGTTGGTTTTCGGCTGTTTTTGCTTGATCACAACAATGACAACTACTTGGTCCTCCAAGGTCTCAGTTCTTAGATATACTTCAATTTCTTTTTTTACACATAGCAAAGGAAAAAGAATCAAGTCTTCTTAATTACAACAACAGATACATTTACTGGAAAGGGAAGAAGATTCCATGCTATGAAGGTGGAATGGGGATTTGATCGATTCATGAGTCAAGAAGCTTTCAACAATCCAGAAAATGGGTATGTTGTAGATGACACGTGTGTCTTAGGAGCAGAGGTATATGTCCGTCAAGAAAAGTTCCGAGGTAGACAAGACTGTCTCTCCATGGTGAAAGACCCCATTAGCTATAAGCACACCTGGAAGATCGACAAGTTCTCTGCTCTTACTGCAGATTGTGTAGACTCTAAGACCTTCATGGTAGCAGAACATAAATGGTACAATCACTCGTTTCCTTTATTCAAACAGGGTAACTAAATATCTGTTATATACATAATGGATATCTGTATCTATGTATAAACTTGAACAGGAAGATACAGGTATACCCCAAGGGCAAAGGGAGTGGTACAGGCAACCATCTATCACTATACTTGGCATTGGCAGAACCAACCAGCCTTTCTCAGGGTTGTCAAATATATGCAGATTTTACAATGCGTATCCTTGATCAAGTTAATGCCCAACATGACTTAGGCAAAGGTACTTAACAGCAGTCGAGAACTTTAAAAGTTAATGATGTAAAAATGTTGAAAAGATTAATGGATCATTAGTATGTAATCATCATGTATACTACTTTTGGTTGCAGCCAACTATTGGTTCAGTGGATCACAGACGGTTTGCGGATGGCCAAGATTTATATCAATTGGGTATTTCAGTTTGCCAGGAGCCGGCTTTCTCGTCAGGGACACTTGTGTTATAGAGGCTGAAGTCACTGTGCATGGGGCTACTACTAATAAAATTATGCTCTAATTAGTACAAAGAATTTGATCATGACAGCAATTATTGTTGAGAGAATATTTTCTCTACTGTTTGGACAGACCAGATAGAAGAACATTGAAGTCATAAGTCTCATTCTGACAAATTGATCTGCCTGTATCAATCATGCCAATTTGGCATGCCATGCTAGTCCCGGTGTTCTTTCTCATACAAGTAATGCAAATGAACTACTACTATTTGGAATTTAAGCCCATTATTTCTCCGTTCTTGTTGTATCAATTAGTATTTGTTTAAATTGAGGAAAATGATGCAAGAATGCCCTCTCCATTTCTCTCGACTTAGGATAGTGCATTTCCTAGTTATCACTTTATTTCTTTCGAGCAAATTCTAGTATGGAAGTGAAAAGGAAGACCCTCAGAACTAAAAGTAGAATTTACTTTACAACATACTTTAAATGTTCTCTCAAAATAAATATTAAGTTTTACATTAAAATTTTTTTTGGTAAAGTAATCAAATCATATTAGAAAAGCATCAAGAAGATGCAAATGTTACAAGAGAGCAAAAGAAGCTGCTTCAAACAAAACATGAAGCAAACTTACCTGTAAAACAGCCAAAAGAATTCCCTGAATATTCTACTAAGGTAAAGACAGGGAGCTAACAAAATTCAAAAAGTTATCCACACTGTTTACAGGGGAGAGAAAGTGCCAACTGAATAAACATTCCAAACATAGGAGTCGAGATTCCATTAAAGCATATGTTATTTCTCTCCTTCCAGAGACACCAAAAAAAGCCATAAATGAACACGATACATAGATAGTCCATTACATAAATTCTGGGCTAATTATCTAGATAGTCCATTAAAGTTGGCACGATACATCAGTTAGACATTTTATCTTCAGCCATGACCAGTTGAACACCTTTGATTGACAAAAGTGTGGCTTGTGTATACAAGATGCTGATGTGGCAAACCATTTCACGCCGATTTTGAAGGCATAAAACCTCTTTTTCAGCTAAATTTATTAGTATTTTTCATACTTCATCCCCTCCTCTCTCCCATGTGTTCTTCCCAAAATCCCCTCCCTACTCTTGTTCCATAGAATCCATCTTATAAAACCTCAATTGTAGATATTAATTAAGTAAATAAAAGTGTGCTCTCTAACATGTTATGATATAATGAGATGGTCACACATTTCAATACGGTATCATAGCTAGTTTATGCAATTGAGTTAGACCCAAAATCTCCTTCTTAACATGGTATCAAAGTCGACCCATCCAATTCTTGGTTTACCCTATTTTAGGGTCTCAAATTATATTGTAAATGCTCTAGATATCCAGACTTGGAAGTGCAGGGGGGACTAGAAGATCCACATCAGTTGTGTGATGGGTAGTTGGCATCCTTCTATGGTCCTTCGAATTTTCCACTTCATGAGCCAATTTTTGGATGGAGTCAAATCAAAGGTCCATTTCTTGACAATTAATATAACAAAGTAAGAATGTGTTAGGATCCAACTTCAAAGAAGGTAAATGTACTTCCCTCAAACTTCTATTAACTTCAAACAATAGTTGTTTAGCCACAAAGGAGAATTTTATAATGCCTCTCGCAGCTGTTACACTACTGAGAGGGAGTTTTTTCTCTATGGGAGAAGGTGCATCTTCCATGTTATTTTTGAGAAGATGTATCCAGGGGCGGACCTAGGTGGAGCCCAGGGGGTTCACCCGAACCCCCTCGTCAAAAAATTACACTGTATATATAACGTCAAATTCTAATTTTATATGTATATATATTAAAATGAACCCCCTAAGAACAAAGGACAGGCTTGGCTCAATGGATAAGTGGTTCATGTAGTGCCCCTATGTCATGGGTTCAAGTCCCATTGGCAACATTTTTTCCCTTTTTTAATATTAGCTTTGGAAAATGGAACTTTTGGGCTTAGACCTTCTTCTTCTTTTTCATTATTTTTTCCTTTTATTCCATTTCTTCTTTTTAATTTATTTTTGTTTAAATTTATTAGACACATTCTTTTATTTTTATATTTTATTCTTTTTATATCTATTATTCATTTTGTTTCAACACAACTCTTTTTTCATATACGTTTGAATAACTTTTTAAAAGAAATGATGAATTATATTGAACTTGAAATTGAGATAGAAATATAGATTATTTTTAAAAAAAATGTAAATTAGATGTAATTGAGTGAAGAAACTTAAATATCGTCAGCGTCCTTTTAAACATATTAATTTAATAGAATTAATGAAATTTCTTTTATATTTTTAATTCTATTTTAGTGAGATGAAAACTAAACTTATTTGATTTATTCGTTTTTTATTTATTTATTTACAAATTATGACTAACCTAGTAAATTGAACTATATGAACTAAAAAAATTGACGATGATATTTATTTATATTAATAATATGCATTATAATATTAGTAATTCTATTCTTACACACTTTTAGAGAATCTTGACGATTTTCATAGTAATATTTGATTGAATGGATATTAATTTAAAATTTTTAAAAAGTGAAATATAAAGTAAAACATTACAAAATAAAAGTATAAAAAGCACAAGAAATTTTAAGAATGCTCGAGGGAGCATGATAAAAGTAAAAAGAAATGTTTAATACGGTATGCTAAAGTGAGTTAAATTTAGCATGATAAGGTAAATATTTTTCTTCCCCGTCTTGTTCCCTTTTTCATCATTTAATTTTCATGTGTTTTAGGAATTAACTTATGTAATACAGTCGATCCACTAAAATTCTTATCAATGCATCTTTGTTCTCAATATCTTTGATTAGCTTAGTCTTTACTTTTATGAACCAATGAAATATCTATGGTTCTTGTACAAAGTGCATGCCGAGGGGCTACTACGCTCACCGCGCACTTGCATTACCACCTGAACTTCCTCTTTATTCTTCGAACCCCCTGAGCAAAAATCCTGGGTCTGCCACTGGATGTATCCTTCATGTTAGTTTCCCTTTGCGGGGAGGAGGTGAATCCTCCATGTTCCTGTGGACGGGTTTCTTGTAGCTAATGAATTTCAGTTGCTTTTGGCAACACAAACAATACTCTCAGCCCCCAAAAAAACATAAACTAATAAATGATAACAAAGAGAGGAACTACTTACCAAGAAATCCATTATATTAAACATTGGAAAAAGGCCCAGAAACTTGAAGTACAGGGAGAGCAGAGCACAACCTGCTTGAACTTCAAATAATAAATTTTATTCACATACCAGTTCAGAATTGGGAGAAAAGGATGGTCCTGATGCCAAAAGTTAGAAACCAATAATATAAACAGAAAACAAAATATCCATTTCAATTTGATGTACACCAGAAATAATCATCAGTAATAAGTGTTTAGTCATACCTAGGTCACCTCTTAACTTCATAAACTCAATGACAGTGGACAATTATTAGTTTCAGAAAAACAGCTAGATGATCTAGGCAATCTAAGTTCTATATAAAACAAACAAAAGATGTAGCTTGGATGCATTGTTCACAGATATTGCATAATTAGCTTTCAAGTAGGCAGCAGCTCTAGCTTTTCTTCATCATTGTGGCTGTCATTGGAGTGAATGGCAACCATCATGAGCTTTTCTTGTTCCAAATCATAAACTTTGTCTGTCATGCCTTCTTTCTGGTATGCATTAATCATAGTAGAGTAAGTCATGAGATCAGGTCGACATTGCTTATCTTTCATTCGCTTGAAAACCCTCTCCATCTCCATTACGTCCTCGGCCTTTGCACACGCATAAATAACAGAATTGAATAAGGAAGTGTTTTCAGGGATCTCCAATTTCCCAGCTAACTGGACAGTGTTGATCACCTTATGAAAAAGGCCTGCATTTGCATATCCCCTGACAAGACAGCAAAAGGTCTTGGTGTCAGCTTTCATCCCTTCGGCACGCATTTGATCAAAGGTGTATTCCATATGCTTTGCCTCACCTGCATCTGAGAACGCCTCAATGACATTATTGTATGTTGATGTGGTCCATGGATATGAGAGTTTACGCATGTACTCCATTACAGATGACATTTTATCATACATCTTTTTCTTCCCATAAGCACCAATGAGGATATTAAATGTTCGCGTTTCAGGCTCAATCCCAAAATTACGGATTTTTTCATACCATCTCTCCATCATTTCAATCAGCCCCTTGTTGCCAAATATGCTCAGGATAGTGTTCATAGTCCATACATCAGGTTTGCTGTCAGCACTTTCTAGCATCCCTAAAAGCACTTTCTCCATTTCTGCATACTTGCTTGCTCTACCATAACCACTCAAGACTATATTCTGAGTGACAGTATTAGGAACTATGGAACGATAAGACATTTGTTCATAAAGTGACTCAACCAAATCAAATCGGCTAGCGTCTACACATGCCTTGATTAATATACTGTAAGTGTAAACATCTGGCTGACAATGAGGTAGGTCAATCATGGCATGAAGAAGAGAAAATGCCTTGTCAAGTATGTTGCTTCTACAATAAGCACCAATCAAGGCCGTATAAAGTTCTGAAGTAGGTTCGAGTCCCTCTTCAATCATTGAATCAAAAAGCTGTTGAGCCTGTCCTGGTTGCCCACATCTTCCAAGAAGAACAAGGAGCCTCATGTAAGTACCTTCTTTTGGTTGATAAAAAGGTTGCTTCTTTAACATCTCAAATACCTAGACGTACAAAAATATAGCCTGACTCAATCCATATGTTTACAAGTAGAAAAAGTATAGACAGTTAAAGTTTCCACCCATTACTCAAAAAAAATTTCGACAAACACCACTAAAAAATAAAATAAATTCAATATTCTCCTAATTAAATGAAAAAGAAGACCTGAAGGGCTTGTTGCCATTGCTTTTTATCAATGCAATCAGAAAGAGCTTCAGGAACAGTATTGACCCAAGGATTGGCGGTATTCTTTCTATGGATTTTTTTGTTAATAGGGGTCCTACTCCCCTTCTTGTTGTTCAGGTGGGAAACGGAAACTTCAGAGAAACCTGGGTATTCACCTTCTTTCCACTGTTTCTTCTTCTCAAATGCAATCCTAGAAGAAGAGCTTGTGGCGGCCACAGCGCAGCAAAGGCCGACGCCGGCGCCGGTGATGATACGACGGCGACCACCAATAGAAGTCGGAGAGGGGATAAGCGAAGAAGAGGAAGATAAAGTAAAGGAAGCCCTCGTCATTCCTCTACTCTCTCATGTGAAATGGTAGAGCTCCACTCTCAAAATATCTCCTGCAAAATGCTCCCTTTAATTGGATACATTGTGTTGTTTTCCCTAATTATATACTATACTAGATATCGGAGCACGGCCCAACATATATTATTCGTGATATCTCAAGTTATGTGATATAGATGAAAATTAGAGAGTAATTTCAAATTTTTATTGGAGTTGTTATTTATGGTGACTTAAATTTTTTAAAATAATATGCATTACTCCCACTATCCCGATGGAAGTGGCACACATAGAATTTTAAGAGGCAATCAAATTGTTTATATATATATCTTTAAAAAAATTTAAATTGTTAATTATTGTGATTTATAGTTTTTTTTTATATATAATTTTCAAATATATAGCAAACTAAAAAGAAAAATAAAACAAACAAATTAAAACGAAGAAAGCACATACATTTCATAAAAATGCTCAGCTAGAAGCAGATATGTCAAGAAGGGGTGTCTGCTTCTAACCTCAATTTATGTAATGTAGTTTGATTTAACATGAAGTTTAAACAAAATAGAAATTTATGAAACTTATAGTCTAAAATAAGTTATAAATATTTGTATGACTATAAATCATTTCATTATGAATAAAATTAGCATTTTAAAGTTAAATTATTACCAAATATAAAAATATAACAATTATATAAAAACCGACTAAAAAAGAAAGTGAATAGTATAAATTGAAGCATGTAAGCTAACGATTCTAACATTTGTTAAGTTTTTTTTTTAGTTGCGAAATGGTTAAATAATATATAATGATGAATGATGATATAGGAAAGTTGGTCCAAGTGTGCAAAAAGATTATATGGAAAGTACAATGAGATTAAGTTTTTGGGCAACAATATTTTGTCATTATTAGCAAATTTACCAAAATGCCTTGTAGGATCATATTGCAAAAGGTGGGAGTTACGTGGCATTGAGTAGAAGTTCAGGATAGTTTTGTCATTTGAAACCCCAAAAAACAAATAAGTCCCCTTCTCAAGCAAGACAATGCACAAAAAGTAACAAAAAAATGACCATATTGCCCTCAAAATTATTTTTAAAGACCCTAAGCTGACATGTTGACCAGCTGTGTGGTTATTGCCATTTATTTTATTATATATATATATATTACTATATCTAATAAGTGGGAATATCTACTACTTAGCACATGACAAGTGATGGATGATATGTGCTTGATAGTGTTGTACATTCTTCTTTTATGGTTGTACCTTTAAAATTTATAGTATTGGACAATTTAACACCATTAATTACCTACTACTTTATTAGCCATAAAGTTGACCTCATTTAGGCCCATTTATTATTTATATGTTTTCAATTTTTAATACATGTTGTCTATCTAATTCTTTTTTTCAACCTTTTATTTTAAACTTCTTGAAATTTAATTACATATTTATTACTCTCTCTATGCACTTTTAATTGTTATGATTTCTTTTTTAGAGTCAAACTATAAGAATTTTAACTAATATTTTACAATGTGTTTTTTCATCATATTCATACGCAAAAAATTACAATTTATATTACTTTTTGTATAGATTTTGCATATTTAAGTTTTTTTTTAAAATATCAAATTAATACAATTTGATTTAACTTTGAAAATTAGTCAAATGGACTTTCAAAAAGCGCAACATGACAAATACAAGTGGACAGAGAGAGTATATTTTAGCTACAAAATATATTAGAGGTACAACTTTTTTAAAAAATTAAATTTTTATTGCGTTGATTCTTGAAATCTTATCATTGTCATATGAATTTGAACAAATTATATATTATTAAAAGTTACATAAAAGATGCTATAAATCACAATAATTAGCAATTAAAAATATTTTAAAATCATATAAGAAATTTGGTTGACTAATTGGAATAGAATAAGTAACATGTACTATTTGAAAATAACGTCAAAATTTCTAGAATTCACAATAAATTAACAACTGAAAATATTTATGATTATTCACGTGAATTGAAACATGAGTAACCTATATTATTCAAAACTAACGCAAAAATACTATAAATCACAAAATAACTTCAAATATATTTTTAAGAAAACATATAAAAAATCGATTGATCTTCAAAATTCATTTATATCACATAAATTAAAACAAAAAAAATTAATATTTATTGGGCCCGTGTTGGCACGGGCACCAAATATCTATATATGTGTGTCACAAATGGAAAAGTCCCAATCAAGGAAGCAACATATATTATTTACAAATGACTTAAAAAGCATTAAAAATTACAATAATTACCAATTTAAAATATTTAAAAGCTATATAATACAATACGTTGACTCTCAGGCTCACATATATTGAGACAGAAAAAATAACACATATCATTTTAAAATTACCAAAAAAGTATTATAAATAATAATAATTAACAATTTAAAATATCTGAAAGACATTTTAAAAGGGTTAATTTTGTAATTTTATCCATATCACATAAATTAGGACAAAGTGATCAGTAATGTAGGTTATTTGAAAGTTACATAAAAATATTATAAATCACAATAATTAATAACTTAAAACATTTTTAAAAAAAAATATGAAAATTTGGATGACTCTCCAAATTTCATTTGTGTCACATAAATTGAGACAACAAAAATAACATATATTGGGTCCATTTTAATTCATTTGTCTTATTATTTTTTATATTTAAAAATTGCGTAAAAATACTATAAATCATGATAATTGACAATATAAAATATGTTTTGAAAAAAATACAAAAAATTCCACTGATTCTTGAAGTGAATCTATCGTAAAAATACTATAAATCATGATAATTGACAACATAAAATATTTCAAAAATGTTGTATGTGGGTAGTCTTATTATGCCTTAAATAGCGTCAAAGAAAGTACAGGTTTGTGATAAAAAAAACTTATTCCTTTATCCACACAAACAATCGCTTCAAAAACTCGGTTATTAGCCCCAAAACATACCATTTATATTATTGGGCCCGTGCATTATCTAGTATATATATAAATAGTAGTAGATATTAAAAACTATGTTTCATCTATTCGAAATAAATTAAATATGCTCAAATTATCTTTCGACTCAAAATTAGTCTTTCCGTCTTACTATTGGATCATACCCTTCTATTTAACGAAAGAGTTATGTAGAATCTCATGATGTGTGTATTAATATGCCACATAGACCTCCACGTGTGTACGTCCACCCCACCCACCTCAAGGGAAGGGTAGCCAACCTGGGATACGTTGCGGCAAGGAATAAGAAGGTGCCTCTAGCAGATTGTATTGGGATAATTTATGATTTTTGTAATCTTTTGAGAATTTTGTCTTGCATATGGTGGTCCTTTTCTATTATGTTATTCTTTGACTTAAATAGTAGTATTCATGTGGTTTCGTATCTTATTTAATCATGCATAGCCGTAAGTTAGATATTTGTAATCTTTTGAGAATTTTGTTTCGTGTATGATGGTCCCTTTCTATTAGGTTAGATTTAGGAAATAATTTGAGTTAAAATAATAGTATTATGTTGTTTTGTAACTTATTTGTCCGTGCATAGCAGTAAGGACTTGGTCCAAATGCCCTTTTTCCATAGAGGACTTGTTTGTATGTGAATATATATTCTTTAGTCTGACTTTGATGTGTGTGGTCGCAATGCCCTTTTCATTATTTACTAGTCTCTAGACACATGTGTTGCACGTGTGTTTCATGTGAATTTTTATAGATAGTTAGAACAATTAAAATTTTATGAAAATAGTGTGAAGTGAGTAATATTTTTTTAATGTGCGTCAAGAAACACAAAATGAGGGGCACATTGTAATGTTTAAAATCAATTCCTTTGAAACTACCATCGATAAATCAATTCATTTGAAGCTACTATCGGTAATGTTTGAACTTTGTTTAGTAGTTAACACACTTCCAATAAAGTCACAAATGACTAATTTGAACCAAATAATAATACAAACTTACGATAATGATAAAAAAAATCATAAAAATTAAATTGGTCAAAACTGATAGAGAAAAAACACACAAAAAGTAGAAGAAAAATATAATATACACATCATTTGTAAGACTTTAATCATATAGATTATAGATAGAAAATAATAGAGAATCAATAAGTTATCCATATTCGAAATTCAGAAGCTACAAGTTTAAAGAGAAAAAAACTAAAGGCACAGATCATGAGAGGGAAGTAATTGCATTGACAAATCCTACAATTGCAAATTATGTATAACGAAGTCTGCATCATATTTTGCTCTAGAATAAGATAATACTTATTTCTGACAAAAGAAAAGATAAAATTTACCAGCGATGTTTGACCAGCATATTCATTGCTTCACACACCATTATATATATAAAATATATATATACACACACACTAATTACATGGAACATGTGTTGCATATATTTTTAGCTTTTATAAAATTTGTGTATTAAAATAATAAATCAAAAATATATTTTAAAAGTTGTCACTTGAGAAAATATTTGTTGTTATGACACAGAGACATCATTTAAAATTTGAACTTGTATTGTATACTGTAATTCATTACTTTAGTTATTTGTTTGTTGAATAGAAATAAATTCAAAAAAGCGGACAAACGTAGTTACCATCTAGCAATAAATAGGTGAAGAAAATCAATATCATATAGCCCCATAATGGTATATAGAAATATACTGATTGAATTTCATGCTCTAGATTACTGTATATGCATGCAATTACCTCTAAATACTGAATTAACTAAAAGAATTGAAATTTAAAGACAAAAGAAATCTTAAAAATTATCAATAACTGATCAAACAGGATTAAATGAGCATATTTCTTGAAAAAACTTGCGAACAAAGCAAAATAGATGTACATTTATCAATTCAGCCTAAACGTTTAAATTTTGTTGTCTGATTTTATAGATATTTATTTTATAATAATAACATATCCCGTGAAATCCGTCTAGGGAGTGTCGGGTGTGCACAAACCTTACCTCAATTTAGAAGACCCTCGATTTGAGTCGAGTATAGCAAATCAGAGTAAATATGAAAAGGAAAAATGACAGTGAAGAGAATATAATATAATAT